AAAATCGTCTTTTGAGAAAATCAGGCATATTCAGGAAAGTTGATTTTGCATTTTATGTAGTTATTGGCTGATAGTGTCAGTTAACTAACGGTGTCCATAATGTTATCTACAAATGAATGCAGCAGCTTTACTAGTATTTGATATTATGACTAGGTGCTTGCTTGCTTTCCTTTATTGTCTTGCCCTTATGAGCATATTTGTGACCTTTATTATGTGTAGCCCAATTCGATCTTTAATCGAGGTAGGCTTCGGTGCTGACAAGCGAGCTGATGTGAGACTCTACTATGGCGCCAGAAACCTTGATAGAATGGCATATCAGGTACATCTTTCTCGCATACTTTTGCAGATTATTTATATATTAAGTGTGTAAAGAAGCAATTCCCCTTTTGTTATCTAGTTTTATTTAATGTTCTTTTCTTCCCAAAAATATTTGCTGTAGGAGAGATTTAAAGACTGGGAATCTTCCGGGGTCAATATTGTGCCAGTCCTATCACAACCAGATGAAAGTTGGAAAGGAGAAAGAGGGTTTGTTCAGGTAGTTATACATTTCACTTTCTTGGTTTTGTGGTGTCACTTTTGTCTTTAAATTCATGTCATTGATTTGTGCAGGCTGCATTTGCTCGAGCTAAAAAAATCTTGAGCTCTCAGTCTACTGGTGCTGTGCTTTGTGGGCACAGACAGATGGCAGAGGTTTGTGACTAAAATATTTTCCTTCACCTTATGAAGTCTTTTGATCTCTTAGAGTCTAATGTTTCATGTTACTTTCACATGTTATTGTTGTCTTGGTTGTATTTATTAATTTGCTTTTGCTGCCAACTCCGGACCAATCTTCTTGTCTTATCATCTCAAGTGAATTTGAATGATAGCTGCAAGTAAATGAAGTTGCATAGTCGCCAAAGTGAGGCAGTTAAAAATTTGGTCTGCTGTGGGCCTGTGAGAGAAATGTTAAATTTTACTCGAGCAAACAAGAAAAAGTACGTATATTGATATGATTATGTTCTTACTGATAATCGAATTCTAAAGAACTATTTGAGATTATTGTTTTTTATTTGACAAAGGTTGATAAGCACACATGTTAGGATAACTGGATAAGGTAAACTTAGATGAGTAATACCATGGTTGTCATGTAACGAGGTAATGGTTTAGCCTGTATATTCTACAGTGTAACATATTCAAGTCTTTAATTTTTTGTGTGTTGACTTCTGTTCACTCTTCTTCCTTTTTTTTTTTCAACTTTCAATTTTTTATTTTTTTTATTTTTTTTTTCTATTAAGTATAACTGAAACTGTGAATTTTTGGATATCCTTTGGAGTTATATATTTTGCTTAGACTCTAAATGCAAGGTAAATGATCTCTAATATTTGCTCCATGCAGGAGGTAACTTCTATTCTTGTATCTGACGGTATAATGAGGGAAAAGATTTTGAAAAACATATGACAACCATATTTTTTGGAGGACTCTGGCTTCGTCATGCCATTGTATTCATTTATTACATGATGAGATTAAAATAAAAAAGTAAAACCAATTTTGTTGTATCTTAGCATCTTCCGTTCTCTAAATTTGCCTAGCTGCTTGCTGCAAGCAAAGTGGAAGTTTTAGTTTATAAATAAGAATCCATATTGACGCGACCAAGATTTTTAGAGTGCGTTCAGTTTTGATCTGTATTTTCTTGATATAGGACTGGTTCTGTAGCTGGTTACTGTAATCTAATATTTAGATAATTCATGAAATTAGTTCATGAGATTATGAGTTTGTATTTTTCATATGCTGTTGAAAGCAAACATTAATACAAACACATCTCTGTACCCTTTTTAACATGCTCGCGAACATGTAAGAAGCTGCTGCTGTTGCTGTTCTGTTCGTCGTTAGAGCCAAAAGAATGGCTTTTCGCTCGTCCAGAATATGGCCTTTTGACAATAGCCCAACATGGAATCGCCATTAGAACCACATTAAAACGCATTTAGAGCATTACAAGTCAATTTCCCTTGTAAGCTTGAGAATTCTATATAAATACTGTTCATCCAACTTTTAACTATTCAATGTTTCTAAGTTACAACTGTTCAAATTGTATGGGGCAATCTTGTAATTTGGAGATAAATTTTTCTGCCTCTGTAGAAAATAATACCACAGTATCGAAAACATTTCCGAGAACAGTTAGAGCATCCACAATGCTTTGGGTCTATTTTTGTATATGTGGCATATAATTGGATTTGAGTTTTAAATGACATGGACAAACCCAAGTAAAAAAACTCAAAAACTTTGCAATGCAAAAATAAAAAGACTAGGTCTATCATACATGCCAACCAATAGAAATGTTCTAATATGTTTTATTCATTAAAAAAAAAATTAAGAACAAATGATGAGTATTTGGGCTTGTATTTGGGTCCAAAATAGACCCAAGTGTGGACTTGGTCTCTTTTTTTCATTGCCACATAAGTTAGACCATGTCTACTTTTAATTGCATTCGGAAGTATTTTTTTATAGACTAAGTCTATTTCTCACGTGGCATGTGATTTTTTGTTAAATGCCCCAAAGCATTGTGGATGCTCTTATGTGCATGGAAAGGTTCACCCGAAGCTAACTACCCTTCAAAATCTATTAATCTACTATCCAATTGTGATAGTTCCCAGAACATCAAAAGATTAGTGTAAAGAAAAACCAAAATTCATAACTAATATCGATGGAATTATTAGAATGAAACCCTGGAAGTTAAGACGAAATAATTGTTGGCATTATTAATTATTCATAAAGTATATCGTGTAATTTCAACTCTATACTTAGAGCATCTCCAATGATCTAATGTTGTTGTAGAATAAATTTTGACAAATGTCAATAAATTAAATTAATTGTGAACCATGTAGGAAAAATGTTAAGTTTACAACTATGAAATTAAAAAATTATCTCCAATGCACAATGTAGTGTAACTGAAATATTATATGCTTACCAAATTATTAAAATTTATAATGTGTAGTAAGAAAATTAATTAAATTATTAAATAATTTATAATTGGTAAGAATAATTCTCTATATTCTCTCATTGGTTAGCTAACCACATTCTTCTCTACATTGTAAACATTAATTATGTCAACCTCATCACAATATTTGTGATCATATAGTACATTGGAGGATGAAAAGTTATGACATGGCTAAATATGTTAATGTAAAATGTAATTTACAACAATAATTTTTGAGCATTGGAGATGCTCTTAACTAGGAATAAAATTATCTGATGACGTGATTAAAGATTTAATTGCGTACCAACTAGAGTAATTGAGTATGCTTATACTTCAATTTGAATTGAATATAGTTACAAAATTAGAACATGAATTTGACATTTACGTTCTTGCAGTTTCTCATTTGTCAGACTGGAATTAGACAGACCCTCGTTCGCTGCGAAAGATAAAAAACTTGAAGAACTAACTTCAGAATTTCACTATGACAGAATTCAAGCGACTGAAAGATAAAACACCAACATAAATAATCACGGATGACAACTGCAAGGTCTAAAATAAATTCAAGGTACAAACACTCACAAATTGCAGTTTTGCAACACAGAAAATCAAGACCAACCCAAATATAAGTTCTCAAATGTCTGAGACAACCCAAAGAAATAGGCAGACTAATCAGAGATACCTCACCAAATTCTGAAACAATTTGCCCAGATGATCAGCATCTCCATTAAGAATTTCTCAGACTCACTATTTTCTGTCATCATCCGAACCCGAACTGTCATGACTATGAGACCTTCTATGATGATGATGATGATGCTTGTGGCGCTTTATACGGTGCCTCTTTTCCTCAGACTCATCATCAGTTGAAGAATAATCCGAGTAGCTAGAGTCAGACTTCTTGTGATGTCTGTGGTGATGTTTTCTGTGCCTTCTCTCTCTCTTTCCATTTTCATCATCACTTGACGAGTCCGAATGGCTCGAGTGCAAACGCCTATGGTGCTTATTTCTCCTCACACTTTTATAATCATCTTCATCATTGTCGCTCGAGTAATAATCCGAGGAGCTTGAACCTGACGATCTTCTCTTTGGCTTATTATGCTTGGATTTCTTGTCTTTTATCCTCTTGTGAGATTTTTTTGTCCGCTTCTCGTGGCTGTCGGTATCTGAATCAGATGGTGATCGTGACCTTCGCTTGAGTTTGGCAGATTTCGACCTTTTCTCATTGGCTTCGGCATCGGCTTTTGCTTTAGCAGCAGCTTCAAGCTTCTGTTCCCATATCAACGGGGCTTCCTTCTTGGCCAGGACTCTCTTCTTCTTCTCCTCCACCAGCTGCATGAATTTCTTGGCATCCATGAAAACAAAGCTAGCTGCATTTGGTATGATGGAGATGGCCGGAAGTGCATCTCAAAGAGAGAAAGGAACAGTGTTAGTTCATTGATCACTAATCACAAATCAAAGAGAGAAAAGAATCTGATAAAAAAGTATCCGGTTTAATTGGATATTACATAATCAGTGAGAATAAGATAATATATATATATGGGGTAGCAGTGACATAACATATATAGCTCAGAATCCAGTTTAAGGCGACAAAGCAGAAGAACATAGACAAGATAACAAGCATAATTGTTATAGGGTGGTAATTCATCAAAGAACTTGATCTAATTCATGATGATAGCTAAAGAGCAAATCTACCGAGCTTGTGACATATCCTATATGTTTTATGTCAAAGCATGTCCAGAAAACAGCTATCAATGTATAACATAAATGTCATTGGCAAAACCTTGAGTTGAAGCACTAAAAAAAAAACATTAAAATTCTCTCAAGATGCAAGAGAGCACAAGAACTTAACCATCAAGATATAACATTTTAATGAATGGCCAAATGATAATTAATTAAGATGGATATGCAATGAAAATCAGAATCAGGTTTCTTACCTTATGACCAATAAGGAAAAGATTCCAGTTGAAACCGCAGCTCAAATACTCCTTCTCACTCACACCACTGCTCGAACAAAAACAATCGATAAAATATGATCAGTACATAACACAAAAAACCACCCATATAATTAAAGAGTAAATTAAACCCAGCTTCTCTAACCTAGAAAAGAAATTTAAAATTTCGAATTTTCAAATTCAAGTAGTTTAGATCTTTTCCTCAAAGTCCTAATTCAATATCCCCATATACATACCGATAACATGAAAAATAAACTGAAACAAGGACCCAGTCCCAGCAATATCGTGAAAAAACACAAGGAGACCCGGCGAACAGATCGAAGAAAATATTACTCTAATCAATCTCGACAATCACGAATCGACTCATTAGCAGCTGCAGATAATTCAAAAATCCATACCTACAATCAGATCTGAGCTGATTAGGGTTTCAGGACCTGAGACGCAGACTAGAAGGAGCTGTTTTCCTGAGCTGCCTATTTCTTTCACACGAGTCTAGAGAGTTGACAAATTATGCAAGCCGCGTATGTTATAGAGGGGGAATATAGTAAAAGAAACGCGTTTTTGTGTGTGTAGGTTCAATGAATTTACACGCAAAAGTGGAACATATTATTCAAATTATTTTATTTGGATTTTGGCAAAATTAATTGGTTGTTTCGAGGAACGTATGATTTAAATCAATAAAAAATTATTATTTTTCCTATATCTTTGGGAGTTGTTATTACAACTTGATATACCACGCATATGGATTGGACGGATTTGTTATGGAGTAATCGGATGACTCGGCTTATGGAGCCATTCATGATTATCCATAAATGGTGTATTGACACGTGTCCTGCAATAAATACACATTTGTTACGTGTCAATACATAAAGTTATGGATGACTCCATAAGGGAGCCATCTGATGGCTCCATAGATTTTCTGATGGATTGGTTAGCTCAAGTCAACTGGTCTCAGATAACTTTTAACTCAACAGTAAGGTTTGATCATGTTAAGGAATTCGACAGCTCAAGATACAAGTCAGATCGGGTCGTAAGCTAGCAAGCTGAGTTCATATCGAAGCTTGGACAAAAGAGGGGATGTCAAACGGGGGCAAAACGAGTGCGGTCCACACAGGGTGAAGCGCACCATAAGAGGGTTAGCCCAAATGAAGCTCAAGTGAGGTTTCATCCCAAAACCAATTGGTGATGGGAGGAGTAGCCACTAGACTTATAAACTAGGCTCATTTACCATATCAAATCAATGTGGGACAACTCACAAGTGACATTCCAACAGGGGATGTCACCACCTGAAAGTCGCGTACCAAAGGCCGTGAAGTCGATTAACCAACCTAAGTGGGCCTATTGAGTCTTGGTGAAGTAGGAAGTAAAGTCATGCTAGAATGGTAAGTCTATCTCGTTAAGTGTTGAAAGATCTTAGAGAGGTGTTTTACTAGGAAATGAGACATGGACAGATCTCTTTCCTAATAATGAGGTTGCATGTGCACGAAGACAACCTCCTTATAAAAGGAGGTCACTAGGTTCTGATATATCTTACCACATATTACATATTCCAATTTTATAGGATTCATGAGCAAGATCTAACTTGAACGTCGAAGGAATTTCCACCGGGACTCCTCCCGGCGTATTTTACAGGTCACCAGAGTTCAAGTTGAAGGATGGTTCGTGACGCCATCGGTCCACAAGCCAGTCTAGGACAATTCACATATCAAATTGGCACCGTATGTGGGAATATCTGGTCTTTTACTAATTGAAGAGGCTTGATTTTTCTCATAATTATCAAGAATAACCATATCATGGCCTGAGAGGGATCGAAGAAGAATATGGGCAGAGATATGAAGGAAGCATGGGTATCTCAATCTCGTTTGGGCTCGGGATCGCCACCAGGTTGATTGAAGGAGACCAACACCCAGGTCATTCAAAGGGTGACTTTGCCAAGACCCCCTAACAGTTTGACCTTAGCGGAGAACCCTTTTGGTCCGACCTAGCCCAGGACCAGAGCCATTAGCCTCCCTATAGGAGGCGCCCAGAGAGAGGAATCAAGAGCAACTTGCTGTTGTTCGGAACCTCGGGTCACTCGAAGGGGTCGAGGTGCAGTAGCTCGAGGCCTCGAGAAAAAGAACAAGAGGTCGAGGTGCAGTAGTTCAGCTCACAAGGGTAAAGTTGGATAGAATCATAGTCGGCGTGGTGGCCCAGGTGGTAGTGTAAACAACCTCAATCGACTTGATTAACCGAGATTCGCTCTCGACCGGTTCAAAGACCTGCAAAAAACATTAAGATGCAATATTTGTACATAAGAATTTTCGCCAATAAAATTTGTATGCCATCAAGGCTTTAACTTGATTCCTTCGACCTGCCTCGAAAGTTTATTATAGCCTACAACCAATAGATAATATTGTTGGTTCGCCTTCAATTAAGTCGACCTGCTACCGGGGTCTAAATTCCATTACGGTCTTAGAAAAGATCATATTAAGATTCGCTGGTTACTCTCAACTTTGCTTCTATCAACTTTCTCATGAGTTCTTTAAACAATTCTTCGATTTGTAAATTTTCATGATTCAAATGTAGTTGCCATCCGGGCTCCAATTTAATTTAATCGACATGTCATTCTTCA